CACACCACAAGATACTGTAGTATCATATCCTTACATTAGATTATTATGACACACCACAATATACTGTAGTATCATATCCTTACATTAGATTATTATAAGACACACCAAATGATACCGTAGTACCATATCCTTATATTAGATTATTATAAGCCACATCACAATATACTGTAGTATCATATCCTTACATGAGATTATTATAAGACACACCACAAGATACTGTAGTATCATATCCTTACATTAGATTATTATGACACACCACAATATACTGTAGTATCATATCCTTACATTAGATTATTATAAGACACACCACAAGATACTGTAGTACCATATCTCTATATTAGGTGATTATGAGACATAGCACAAGATACTGTAGTATCATATCCTTACATTAGATTATTATAAGACACACCACAAGATACTGTAGTATCATATCATTATATTAGATTATTATAAGACACACCACAATATACAGTAGTATCATATCCTTACATTAGATTATTATAAGACACACCACAAGATACTGTAGTATCTTATCCTTATATTAGATTATTATAAGACACACCACAAGATACTGTAGTACCATACCTCTATATTAGGTGATTATGAGACATAGCACAAGATACTGTAGTATCATATCCTTACATTAGATTATTGCAAATCATACAACAAGACACCAGTACCATACCCCTATATTAGATTATTACACGACACACTACAAGGGACTGTAGTATTACACTCCAATATTAGATTATAATGAAGCACCACAATATACTGCAGTACCATACCTTTATATTAGATAATTATGAGACACATTACAAGGAACTGTAGTACCAAACTCCTATATCAGATGATTACGAATCACAAGATACTGTAGTACAAGTTGTGCAGTACCTGTCACTCTATTCCTTGTAGTTACTAGTCCAATCCTATAGACTAAATCTCCTTATATTAGGGATACTTACTTTTACTATGGTAAAGGTTGTTATATTTCATCACTTCTTGACGTGTAAAGATTCTAGCATGTGACTCGTTATTTCACGAGAAAAGCAACATTATGTTGTACTTAAATTTCTCAAATTTACTAGGCCCTCAGTTGTCAGATAAATTAATTTCAGTAATAATTTTTTTTATAAACTTAAATGCTTTAATTATTGTTAGAAATTAAGTGACAATATTTTGAATCATGGTTGAGGGATTGATTCCCTCCCTCTCATGTAAAGTATAGTCTTTTTCATTGTTTGTTTGTTTTATCGTAAAGCTACACAATGGGCTATTTGTCCACCATAAGGAATTGAACCCCGAATTGTAGCGTTTTTAAGTCCATAAAAGTTATCGCTGACACACTTAGTCATCTTTGGTATTTGTAAAGACAGGTGTGTGTTGATAAAGTGATATTCTTGAAAGATCCAGTTCAATAGTATTTTATCTTATATCTTAATCCTCGAAAAAAAATCATTATTTTCCGTGTTATATTTCAGTTTCGAAACCTCTTCATATGTATATACAAGTAGCTGGAGATCACCCGTGTCCTTGTAATCTGGACAACCTTTAGGCTGGTTATTGACCCACGACTGTCCCGCCCTCTGCCAGGACAAAGGTCTAGCTAAAATAAACAACTCGATTTCTAAACACTTGAGCTCCACCAAAAGACTTTGTGTTACTTTAGAATTTCTCTGTTATTCATCTGTAGGGCGCTTATTATAGATAAGTAAACAGCACACACACAGTTTCCTTCTTAAAATCAAATCAGTCCACGATTTTATCCAACATAGGTCACATACTGTCAATCACTACAAAGTATCCAACGTTCTTTCAAAATAAGAAAGGTTATAAAATCCATTTATATAAATTAGTGATGTATTTTTAAGGAAAATGTACTTTCTTCACCGTTATATAAATTTTATATTTCCTCTTACTGGTATATAAGGAACTTACAAAAACTTATTTATACACGTTACTTAATGATTTATGTTTTAACGTTTTTGACAATGAGTGCTTCTAATTAATTTCGGTTCGTATACTGTGGATTCCTTACTATAATATGTTTGACTAACAGACTAGAGGAAAATCAGCATGATACATTCATAAGTAAATCTTTTAAAACGTATTCTGTTTCTTACACACTTGACTCATCACGTCAGTATGATGTACCTGTTTCTAAATTTTACATTTGTTTATGTATTCTGTTTCTTACACACTTGACTCATCACGTCAGTATGATGTATCTGTTTCTAAATCTTACCTTTTTTAAAATATATTCTAGTTCTTCCACATCTGGCTCATCACACCAGCATGATGTATCTGTTTCTAAATTTTACATTTGTTTATGTATTCTGTTTCTTACACACTTGGCTCATCACGTCAGTATGATGTATCTATTTATACAAAGAAACGTTCCTCATATGAAATTGTAAAATTAAGTGACATATTTTTTATATAAGTTAAAATACTGTACAGAGAATAGCAATGAAAATATTTCGGATGAAAATTCTTCAAGAACTATCACTTTGTTTTAGCAACTCTACGTCGAAGTACATGTTACTGGATTTTTGTATCCATGCTTTCTATAAATCTTTAAAATAAACAGAAAATGTTAGATTTTCAAAATATAACAAAATTAGTAATTACGGTTTGTTTCAGAAATTCGCGAAAACCTACACAATGGCTATTTGCTCATAACCGTCCAAATTTTTGAACTAATATAATACAGGGTGGAACTATAAGTGATTTGCAGGTTTTCTTGATTTCAGATAAGTGACTCATTATGGAGCTGTCAAAGCATGAGAAGGTCGAGTTAAAGATGCTGTTAATTCAAACTTATTAGATAAGGAAGGCAATACCAAACTTAAACAAAATATGTATAGTAATTCTCAGCTGTATTTATATATACCTTGCTATTTTCCACGTTCACATAATTTTCAATCTCTTCACAGTTTTGAAAAAAAAACGATCTTAGTTTTTCTTATACACTTTTAAGTCCCACTTAATATACAAATAATCGTGAGGGGTCTCAAAAATGAGGTATCAATGATTTGGAGGTGAAATATCCAATTTGGTGCCCCACATGAGGGCCAGAGGGGTTTGAGAGGTTTCAAGGACTAAATCCACTGATTAACATTACATTAAAACTGGCGAGAATATACGAGGCATCAGTTCATAATAAGTGTATACGCTCGTAGTAAGCAGGCATAATACACGTTTCCTACCCTCTTATTTGATATATAGTTTCTCAAACTTTCTGAGCATACACTATATGTAAACTTCCTACAGAATGTTGGTCAAGTACTAAGTACTACTTGACCTAATAACCTACTGGACTGGATCATTCAACTAGGTTATCTCACATTTACTTTCTGGTGTGTTTGTTTGTTTGTTTTTAATTATGCACAAAGCTACACAAGGGCTATCTGTGCTCTGCCCACCACGGGTATCGAAACCCGGTTTCTAGCGTTGTAAGTCCGCAGACATACCGCTGTGCCACTGGGGGGCTACTTTCTGGTGTGAAAGATTGCTGTAAAGTAGAGGCACACTATGCAGAAATAGACAGTGATATTTTTATCGGCAGATCAGGTAATATCTTAATATTACAACCTTTCATATTTTGCAATGAGAATAACCAAGAGTCACGTGGGTAACGCCTGTATCCTGAGAAAAACAGAATTATTGTTTAATGTACATAATGCTATGTTTTCTCAGTTTGGAACAAATCAACTATTAAATATTTTAAATACATTACCTCAACACATTTCTTGCCTTACAACTCTCCAGTAAAAGCACCTCAAAATACCCCGTTTACTCTTAACAGTGTTTGAGCAATAGAGATTGTTTCACTGTGATCAGTTTCTTTCTTTACTACAAATTCAGTCGAGGGCAGAGAATTCAGATTCACCCGATATTATACTTTCTGTCGAAACCTCCTGTTATCCTGCGACTCTTACACAATTGTTTTTCAAGGGAAATCAGTGTAATTAAGAATAGTACATGTTTAAATATCAAAAATCCCATATTTGGATCCTCCTAATAGAATGTCAAGGGACTTTTTAACTGCACAGTTTTACTTGAAAAATGACGAAAACGTTAAATGGTCTTTCAAAATAAGATACTTAATTATTATTATTATTATTTTTGTATAGTTATTGCTTCTCGTGAATTTTTACGAGTAACTTTTTAAAATTACTTTATCCATATTTTATGTAAAAGTATATTGTTACTTGGTATTTCTGATTATTGTGGACGACCATATGGACATCTAGTACATAATTCTTAGCGGATACCATTTGGGAAATTCTAATTACCACCATAAATAAAACTGTTCTGACTCAAAATATTCTTAGGAAACCATGGTTGTAGAAACACATTTTCAGAATAACACTTTTAGATTTTTTTTTAATTCTTGGACAAAAACAATTGAATGTTTACTTTTAATACAATGCTAGAAAAAATTCATTTCAATCACAGAACAATGAAAAAAAAATACAAATAAGTTCTTGTTAGTCAAGAATGCAACTGTAAAACTCCTTAGTATTATGAACTTCTCTAAGATAAAAAAAAACCTCATTAATATTTTAATCGAAACCTACTGTACAAATGCAACAAAAAATTCACTAATAAAATTGACAAAAATACTTTTATGTTCTAGGTGATATCTGAAGTTGAAAAAGGGTATATAAGTTGTGCTAGCCTGATACAAAAAACCTTTATGTTGAAAAATGACTGTTTTATGGTGCTTAATTTAGTCACTCTTTTCGAGCAACTCTTGATCAAACAGGTATTCTCCCATCCCATCATTCATAGCGCCAAGTTGACTGATGAAGGTCTTTAGTTCGTTTATGGACTCCACTTGTTCGGTGAGGAACTCTCCTTCAATAAAGTTCATCAACTGAGGATAAGAAAAAATAATAATGTAAGCTGAAACAAGAACAGTTTGCTTCTAAAATGGAATATTAACATAGTCATTTATATAGTATTGGGAATAATTTTTAAAATAGCGAATAAATTGGGTGTAAAATACAAATATCATGGTATTGCACCTTCTCTACTGTGTGAAAATAATCTGTGCCAGAATACAGTCGCATGCTGATAGTTTACACCGTGAATAGAAGTAATCCAACCAAGCACAAAGTGTCACACTAGCATAATGCCTATAAAAGTAGTAGCAGTCATTATCTCCAGCAGACACCCACGCACATACGCAGATCTGAGGAGAAGAGGCAGATGAAGAGAAGGTGAATGTAAGTAGTGAAGTCAGTAACTACTCAGTGAAGATAGCAACAAAAGATAACAAGAAGAAGAGACCGAAAAAACTACCTCACTGACTGACTAGGAAACACCACCCACGTCACTTCGTAGAATGACAACTAGATCCAACAGGAAACCTTTATTTCCATGCAGGCTTCAGATTTTCCATATTACAATAATGTTATATGATGATGCACAGAATTACAGACCATCAGACAATGAGCCAGAATATAACCTAGGGCTCAACTTCATCAAGCTGCAAATCCACAATCAAGAAAACCCCAAGGAAGTAGCCCAGTGAATCAGGTAGTGCCACAAAAAAAATACTTTGCTTAATCACGTAACCACGCAGCCACTAACAACCATACAGCTACTGCCAGTCATGAGCCAAGACCACCACTTGCTATTATCGTGGAAGGGATCCCTCCAAAGTACAAACAACCGGAGATGGTCGCAAAGATGCGCCAACTCCCCAAGTGAGGCCTATGTATCAAGTGTAGCCACTCCCGTGAATACACCAAGATCCTGTCCCACGGGCTAACAACAGCCTTCAGAGGTACCAAACTAGATATCTAGCTCCAGAACCAAGCATGCTGTAGTGACCAGCTGCATTCCTTTAGACATAACCACCACCAACTCACCAAGTGAGGCCTATGCATCAAGTGTAGCCACTCCCGTGAATACACCAAGATCTCCCACTGGCTAACAACAGCCTTCAGAGGTACCAAACTAGATATCTAGCTCCAGAACCAAGCCTGCTGTAGTGACCAGCTGCATTCCTTTAGACATAACCACCACGGAGGTCATAAAAAAACTTCAAGCTCAATGGTTTAAAACATTAACAATTGAAGCAAGCAATCAATTACTCCAAGATGGGCCATCTCACCCCTTCATAAGAATCACCCTAGAGGAAATCTCAGAGGTGGAAACTTGAATCAAGAACAGCTTCAACCTACCGTACCTACACCATATCATAAAAGTAGCAGAGGTCTCACCAGCACCCATCCTTCAGTGCTATAACTGCTAGAAGTTTGGACACACCCGAGGAGTTTCTACATCACGAGCCCACTGTGTTAGATGTGGATAGCACCACCCTGTTTTCAAATGCCAGGAAACCAACTGTGCTAACTGCAGCAGTGCTCATGCAGCATCTTACCAAGGATGCCAGTGTTGAAAATCACCAAGACAACCAGGACTTAAACCTTAGAAGTAGCAGCCAAAACAACCAGTGCAAAAGCCCCGAGACCAACGATGACAGCCTAGCGTAAACTCACAATGCAAGCACCACCACCTTGGCCAAACCCGATACCCTCAGTAGGAGTAGAAAGGAACCCATCAAAGACCTGTGCAGAAGTTCTTATACAAAGTACTTTAACAAGACCAGCATTGAAATTCACCACCACATTAGACCACATAATAACATTCACAACGAATATGATCCTCAAAGCTACATGTGGAAATATTAAAACACCCATAGGACTGCACAGCTACCTATTTCTACTTCAACCTCCGGAATTCCGACCTCGAAACCCACGAAGCCTTCATCAAACAGAGGAACCACCAGAGAACACCTTACCTAATGAAAAGGTGAAATGCCCCAGGTTGTCAGGTTTTATGTATGAGCCAGTAGGTGTCTGTAACTTGTTGGGGATAAATTTCAACAATAAACAAACAGTACACAGTCCACTTTTTTAAAAATAATACGTTAAAACAAGTCAAACATGTATACAAATGTTCGTTACACTGTTGGTTATTTGGTTATTACAGTTTTATCCAGAGCTTTAAATAATTTTATCTTTTTCGTCAAAGGCTGATTCAGTTACTTTAGAACACAATTTGTCAAGACGAATTATTCTTCCCTCTTTGTTATTTAAGTACAATCGGTGATAATTTCATTTAAAAAATGGTTAAACTTAAAATAACTCAGTCTATATATAGCTATCGAATTAATTTCCGACGCGTATTTATACTCCGACAGAGGTCTAAAAAGTTCCACACACTACTAGATATTATGATGCAATAATATTCAATTAAAACAGCGAGATAAACTCAAGAGGCTTCTAGTAACACGAGGAAATAATGTAACAATCACCAATTCATAACTACTGAACTACACAACTTATGAGTACGTAAATAACCCTGCGATAAGCTATCGCTTCTAAAAATAACTAAATTTAACAATCGCGCTATATAAACTATCCATATCTTAACACTCGCGTTAAACTTAAACTAAAACAGTCGTTTATGTCGAACATAGTTTTGGCACGTTAATATTTAAGGTAGTTTAAACACTGAAAAATCCGAGCTCTTTAATTATTGCAACGACCAAGATGTAGAAATATCTATGAAACTCTCTTAAACTCCAACAGTAAATTTAATCTTCCCAATTCTAATACTCTTTCAAAACCAAGATTACTTAACACACGCTATGTAACACTTTCATATAAAAGACTTGAAACTTACATTTCCAGATAACAGAATAAATAGCAGTAATGAATATATTATTTGTCATACTCACCCACAAGATTCTCCACTATCACACTACTAGCAGTATACGTATCCCCACAAAATGCATCCGGACACTACACTATTTCAATCAGTACTAAATCTAAATAGTCGAACAATAATACTCGGGGACTTTTAAAACATATAGAACTCGGCTACTGCATACCTAGTTCTAACGGAAACATACTACATGATTTCGTAATAAATAATAATCTGATGATAATAAATAACAACACGCTTACTCATACTCATTTTAATGGCTCGCAAGACATTTTAGATCTGGCTATCATTTCCCAAGTTCTAATCCTACGTGCTTCCAAGATTGAAGAAAACATAGGAGGTAACCAGGACCTAATAATATTTAGTATAGAAACTAACACCCAAAGGAGTCAACCATACACCTTTCTCTTAGTACACGACTTCACGAAAGCAAATTGTGATAAAGTAAAAGCTAAGACTAACTCCTACCAGATTTTTGCCTTTCCACTAACTCGCATACAAACATACATAATTATGCCAACGTAATAACATCCGCTGTATCTTAGGCAATATCACCAACCATTTCCATATACCCCAAACGCCAAAACATCAACCATTGGAAACTAACACCAGAACTACATAAATTAATCCCAAATGAAAGGCAACTCCATACGTTGTTCATAAACTCTAAGCCACTCATTAACAGCAACAACAAAAACAACGATATACGAAAGCTGATTAAAGCCCAACAAGAATCAATCTGGTTAGGATTCTGTAAATCATTAGACAAGTCAAAGCAAAACCCCTAACTAATCTGGTGAAAATTTAAACGCCATATGCCAAGAATCAATCTCAGATACAAACCATTCGATTAAATATATGAATGAGACCGCCACCAATTTTAACGAAAAAGTCAAACTTTTAATTAAATATTTCAAAGAATCATTTGTAACTCCTACTCAACTGCATAGGTAAACTATTGGAGAAAATAATAGTCACTACACTGCTTGTTTTCCTAAAACCTAATAAGATGCCTACTGATATACAAAATGCGTCATGTAAACATTGACTAGTTGAGACAGTCTACCAAGGTTTCAACCGCAACCACGTTTCAGTAGCGGCTTTTCTTGGTGCAAGAAAAGCGTTCGACTCCTTTTGGCACAACAGCCTCAGATTTAAGCTAGGACAATATAATATTCCAGAACCACTTGAAAGGTGGATTTCCAGCTTTTTACATAATCGTACAGCAAAAATCAGAATACATAAATCAGTATTTGAAGCAGCCCAACTACAAGCAGGGAAGCCTCACGGTTCAGTCCGCTATTATACATACTTTTTGTGAATGACATCAATTACCCTAAACTACCCTAAACATATGTTTCACAATACGTGGATATCGCGATATGGAGTACCTCACGAAACCGTCATTTAGCCACTACAAAAATTCAAAAACAAGTAAGCCACGTAATAAAATGGTGTAACACATAGCGTGTAGTTTTAAACCCAACAAAAACCCAAGCAGTAATATTTCACAAAACACGTAAGAGAAAAACACCTAAGATACATAATCTCAACCACAAACTTTACGAAACACAAATACACTTCCTAAGATCCGTAAAATTCCTCGGAATAACCATTAATGAAAATTAACCTAGAAAGATCATTTCTCAGAAGTAACCAAAAACAAAAATACGGCTAAGATTAAACTACCTAAGATGGGAGGGTATGCCAAATGGTATAATGCACACTCCATTACACTGATCTATAAAATGTACGTCAGATCCACACTAAAAATATGTAATACGACAGAACAAACATACGAAATATACGCCCAGAAATTAGCAGCCATTAGGACTACCCACAGACCTACACACCAAGCTCATATCTACACAGAATTAGTAAACTACAAACCATCATAGAACGTATCAAAAACCTTGTCACTACATTAAAAAACACCAGAACACAGTAATTCTCTTTCAACAGAGTTTCACAAGTTAGCCACCACTTATATTTCTTGGGCAAAATACATATCCCCCTACAACTTTATACAAACCTCTCAAACCCACCAACCACCTAAAACACCTTGGAGCATGTCACTTTTTCAACCTTATATTTCAGATGACGATCTGCTACAGAAACGGACCCTTTACATTATTT